TTCTTTTTATTAGTTTTATTAGCATATAATTTACATATCAGGCAATTTAATAGTTCAATCATATTAAGTTGTGAGATTATCACCAAAGTAAATCTGATAATAGTTTCTCCTCCTACTGATAGTTGTTATCTCCAAATTTCCCCCCATTTCCCTTGATATGCTCTGAAGTAAATATTAATCCAGTTATTTTCTTTGTATTTCCCTCTCCTGGATTTCATATACATAAATCATACAAAACACCAACAGGAAGCAAACAAACTTAAAATCCAACAACAATGACAAAACTGAACAAAGAAAAACCTTAATTAAAAAGAAGCAGAAAATATTAAAAAATGAAAAACATTTAAGTGGGTCAAAGGGAGATCAAATTATAACATGTTACATTTTAACCTACTACATCTGCCGTAATAGACGTCACACTACTCTCTGTTGATAGCAAGGCTATTCACATCGCTGGATGATGCTCGAGGATGTTCACTGGAGGCTTAGTCAGTGTGGGACCCTGCAAAAGGATGTTGGGTTTCTGCTGTCATCCAGCCCCTTCTGCAAACTGGGTATTCACAATTTAAACTCTGATACTGTTCCCCCGCTTTGAAATCGGATTCTATCATTTACAATCCTTGGATCACGCTGGCTGGTGTGCTTCTTCCACACGGACTTAGTTGATGCCTCCCTTAAATGGCTGCATGTTTTAAGTGAAGCCTTTAAGACCGCAGACACTATTATTTCTGACAGCTGGGCACCACCTGGTTTCCTCACTACACTTTGGTATAGTACCCATATTTTCAGCGATCTTTTCATGGGGGCAAAAATAGAGTAGGTCCACACCATAGAAGTAATTTTTCTTAGATCAGAGTTAAAACTAAGTATACCCCCAATCCATTGATAACTATACATACAGTAACTGGATTGATGATTATCTGGGGTCATGGCAGGGAAGAATAAGTGGAAAAGGGGAGCTAGCAACAATGAGTACAATGTTCTGAAATTTATTGTGGTGATGATTGCACAACTCTTCATATATGGTTTAAATATGTCTCTGATTCATTTTAGAAACATTATTATCATTTTATGACAGAGGACATTATAACTCATCTCCTGAGTCATAAGGTAATTCTATTGGAGTATGATTGATTTAGTCAGTGGTATAGAATTTAAAACATTGTTGAGAAAAGAAAATTGTACATGTGTAGGCCAACTTTTCAGGTCACAGTACATGAATAGTTCACTTGTACAAATTAAACTCTTAAGAGACTGGACGGTATTTACACAAGCAATGGGGGCTGTTGATAAGACAAAACTTTCAATAACATACATTCGAAAGGCAGAACCATGTCTCCCACATTAATACATATCTTAAGAAGGCAGGGAGAGGATTAGGATAGTAAATATATGGTAGTCTCAGGCCACCATCCACCGGAAGTGCTCAAAGTAGGAGTTACTACCCAAATGTCCGATGATCACCGATTTCGTAACCTTGGGAGAGCAGTCATCTGCTTCTTTACACACGAGGGAGTTTCAGCCTTCAGTCCAGGGCAGTGAGTCAGCTCTTTAAATCTGCTACAGGTAACAGGTAACTTTGCAGCAAAGGCCAATTTGCTTAGTGAGGTTTCTGTATCAGATCTTCCAGGTGTGGTTTATGACAGATGTTGGGCACCTTGAAATGACAGCATCCTGGATTGAAGAGCTTGTGCCTTTTCCATTTAGTGCTTTTGATCCTTTTCTGAAGATCACCTTGTGCGTGGAAGCTTTTATTCTGGATTTTGTCCAGTTCCACTGGTCTTTTGTTTTTCTCTATTTCTATTTTCTCTATTTCCTTTCTGTAGTTTTTTTTATTATTTTTTGGGGGGCTCGTACGATTCTTATCACAATCCATACATACATCCATTGTGTCAAACACATATGTACATTTGTTGCCATCATCATTCTCAAAACATTTGCCTTCTACTTTAGCCCTTAATATCGGCTGCTCATTTCCCCCCTCCTTCCCCACTCCCTGCTCCCTCATGAACCCTTCATAATTCATAAATTATTATTTTGTCATATGTTACACTGTCTGACGTCTCCCCCAACCCTCTTATCTGCTGTCCATCCCCTTGGGAGGAGGCTATACGTAGATTCTTGTAATCGGTTTCCCCTTTCTACCCCACATTCCCTTCACCCTCCAGGCATCGCCACTCTCACCACTGGTCCTGAAGGGGTCATCTGTCCTGGATTCCCTGTGTTTCCAGTTGCTATCTGTATCAGTTGCTAGCCAGATTTGTAAGGTAGAATTGTGATCATGATAGTGGGAGGGGGGGGTGAGGAAGCATTTAAAAACTAGAGGAAAGTTATATGTTTCATCGTTGCTACCCTGCACCCTGACTAGCTCATCTCCTCCCCACAACCCTTCAGTAACGAGGTGTCCTGTTGCCTACTGATGGGCTTTGAGTCTCTACTCTGCACTCACCCACATTTACAATGATAATGGTTTTTGGTTCTTTGATGCTTGTTACCTGATCCCTTGGACAGCTCGTGGTCACACAGGCTAGTGTGCTTCTTCCATGTGGGCTTTGTTGCTTCTGAGCTAGTTGGCCGCTTGTTTATCTTCAAGCCTTTAAGACCCCAGATGTTACATCTTTTGATAGCCGGGCACCATCAGCTTTCTTCACTACATTTGCTTATACACACATTTGTCTTCAGTGATCGTACCAGAGCACGGTACCCCATCAGACCCAACTGAAGGACATGCCTAGAGGTCAAAATCAGACCTTGATCTATTTACAGGTTGTTCTTTCTTTTGAAAATTTTTTTCTTTTAATTAATTTATTCTTCTACAGGTAATTGGTTTCCTTTTTGTTGTCATCGCTGTGTTCTCACTCATTGCCTATCTTGCTATGGCTTTATTCTTGTTGCATATTATTATCTCTACAGATCTATCTAGATAAGATAGACTGCATGAATAATCTGGAGGAGAAAACAACAGGACCAATGGTTCTGGGGCACTCGGGAGAGGGGAAGGCGGGGGTAAGAAGGTGGTGCTCACCAACCCAGGAACAGGGGATCAACAAGTGATCCAAAATCAGTGGCAAGGAGGGTGTGAGAGGCCTGGTAGGGACTCAGCAAAGGCATGTAACTGAGAGAAATTACTGAAACCCAAATGAAGGCTGAGGGTGATAGTGAGAAAAGAGGAAAGTAAAAGGAAATAGAGGAAAGAAGTAGGTGACAAAGGGTATTTATAGAGGTCTAAAGACTGGAATGTACATATGTAAGTATATCTATATAAGAGTGCATGAGTTGTATGAGCCCCTAATAAAATGATTATTTAAAAAAAGAGTGTGGGGAAACAGATCTACATGCATATATTTATAGGTTTACTATTAAGGCAGCAGATGGACATTGGGCCTCCACTCAAGCACATACTCAATGCAAGAACACGTTGTTCTATTAAATTGGCATTTCAGGATGCACACCTTCCCAACACGATTGTTGAAGAAAATTGTGAGCATAAGCAAATGTGGTGAAGAAAGCTAATGGTGCCTGGCTATCAAAAGATATAACATTTGGGGTCTTAAAGGCTTGAAGATAAGCAAGCGGCCATCCAGCTGAGAAGCATCAAAGCCCATGTGGAGGAAGCACACCAGCCTGTCTGACCATGAGGTGTAGAAGGGACCAGTTATCAGGCATCAAAGAACTAAAAATCATACCAGTGGGTGCCCACCTTCCACTGGTCTTTTAATCTATCATTATACCAGTAACAAGCTGTCTTGACTGCTGTGGTTGTGTATTAAGTTGAGGTCAGCTAGTGGAGACCTCCTACTTTGTTCTTTATGGGAAGTTCTTTGTTTATCTTTGGCCTCTTCTCTTTCCATATGAAGTTGGTAATGAATTTTCCATTTTTAAAAAGAATAATGTTGGAATTTGGGTCAGAATACAACCGGAATTCTCTTTAGAGGGACGATGGTGAGATTTCATTTCACGCACTTTGGGCATATGTTCAGGAGTGATCAGTCTCTAGTGAAGGACAGCATGCTTGGTAAAGGTAAGGAAAGTAGAACAGAGGATGACCTTTAAGGACATGGATCGACACATTGGCTGTACCAATGGGCTCACATAACAATAATTGTTCTATCCAATTGTCTCTGTTCCCTAGTCTCTGGCGCCTCTGATCTCAACAGCTACCACTTCAGACAGAGATCTGGAACATGCAATCAATGATCCTGAGTTTTTTCTCTCTAGTCAAAATGGTTCTCATACACAGATGAATGAATGGTTTTGATGGTGGTGGAGGTTTTTTATTTTAGCAGTCTATACTTCCAAGGAAACAAAGGATGGTGATTTAATGCACATCCTCTAATATAATAGAGTTTAAAGATACATTTAAAAAGATACATTCCACCTTAATACTGTAACAGAGAATGTCCACCAAATGTGATTATAGCCATAAGCAACTCTTATAAACTTTCATAGAGTTCATTCTGGCCAATAGCATCCTTAGAGGCGAACTAAAACCATCACATTCTGGCTCATAATCAAGCACATTAACCTTTTGTGTCATCCTGTAATTATGCAGCAGGATCTCTGGTGGTGTAGTGGGTTACGCTTTGGGTTGTTAACCATAAGGTCACCAGTGTGAAACCATCCTCTGGTCTGAGGGAGAAAGATTAAGCATTTTACTCCTGAAAAGATATATAGTCTTGGAAACCCACAGAGGCAGTTCTGCTCTGTCTTACAGGATTGCTATGAGCCACAGGCATAAAATACATAATAGTGCATGTGTAAGGAATTAAGTCTAGAGGGCCATATTAATGGATTATATCTCAGTGCCATATGTTTTGTTTTAGTTTAGCCTGGGTCTCTTGTGAATAATGCTTCAATATACATTGCTATTAAATATTATTTTTCAAATAGAAGTCATCAAGAAACTAAAGAAAATGGTTCTGAAATATGTATCATGGTGGTCTCTGGAACCTACTTTAGTTGAATGGAGAGGATTTCTTAAATATCTTTATAATTTTCAGGAGAAATTTACAGCCTTCTAATTGGAAAGCCGTCTTAGGCCTGCATATGGTATCAAATCTGACTTCTCCTCAAATAGTAACCCGCCAGATAGATCAAATTGTCATAAACCCACACTACAATAAACGAAGAAAGGACAATGACATTGCTATGATGCACCTTGAATTTAAAGTGAATTACACAGGTAAGCTGAATACCTTCTCAGTGCTTAATCAGTTCAAATTAAATTTAAAATTATATTTGATTATAAACAATATTAATCATTAATAACTCATACATGTGGATAATTTCTTATAAAATAATTTAATTTTAAATGTATAAATCTAGAGAAACATTCAATTGTCTTCAAAAAGGTGTTTCAATCTAACTTTCTAGTCAGCCTAGTAGAATAGAACTCAGCGCCTTCCACAACAATAAACATGAAAGGAAAGCGCAGAGAAAATAGGTCATGTTATTATTCACAATCGCTCTACTTCTGAAGTGAAAGAATGATCGTCCTTCTGCCACCAAGGTTAGAGCCAGATATAAGCTAGGAGACAACCATGTGTGCTTACAGTACAGTGAGCAAAAAGTTATCAGTGTAGTGAATTGTTTAAAGGACATTGGATTAGTGGGTGGAAGAGTTTCTTCAAATGCTTAACTTGCAGGAACAGCACCAGTGAATGAACTTTACCCAGAAAGCCTTTCTTCAACCCAAATTTTACTGTGAAATCTTTTCCAATCCATTAGGAAAAAGTGCTCCCCACGTGCATGGAATTTGGTTTGCTCTGCAAGCAACTTACCATAGTAATAATCACTTGATAACATTTGATGAAAGTAGACTATCACTATGGTTAGTTGCATAGCGCTGCCCTTCAGTGTAAGCCTTAAAGCTTATCCCCGGTCTTCATGGTTGGGATGCTTAATAAATATCAGGTGGCTTATAAATTGCTAGGGAAGCGTTTTTAAAGTGAGCGATCACTTTAAATGTTTCCAGAAATGCCCTGTGGAACAATTGCATAAAAGCTTTTTTAATGTGGAGATAATTGCGAAAATCAAAAGAACTTCAGCGTATTTGCCCCAAGTTTCCCTTCACTGACCCTGAAAAATGCCCTTACAAAGATTTTCACAGAAATGGGATTATTTTCTGTTAAAACAAACAAACAAAAAAAACCTTGATTATTTAAATATCAAACATAAATGATTAATCCATAAAGTGATTGTTTACACTATAAAAGATCATTCAGGAGAATAAATTAACGACAACAACAAAAACACTTGCCATCAATTCAATTTAGATTCCTAATGACTGTGATCTTTCAGGTAGGTTGACCTTTCCTTTTAGGCACTTCTGGGTGGGCTCAATCGACTAACCTTTCAGTTACTATGTCAGTAACTGAACTTCACTGTTTATGCCACCCAAGGACTGTCAAGGAAGTAACGACCCACTGCCATAGAGGTATGGACAGTTGCCACTGTCCAACTTGTAAGAACAGAACTGCCTCGTAGGTTTCTAAGGCTCTACTCATAACAGAAATAGACTGCTATGTCTTGTCTTTTTCCATAGACTGTGTGTGTGTTTGAACCATTGACCTTTTGGTTAGCAGTTGAGCACTTTAACCACTGTGCCACCTGGGCTCCAGGGAAGTAAATAGAAGCACCTAAAAGATCACCAGTGGTACCTAATGCATTACCAAATAAGTGCTGTTCTGAAATCCATTTCACCTAAGATTGATGTATAAAACATGTTCTGACAAGAAGAAAACAAAAATGCCTACTTTCTGGGTTAAACATTTAAAATGATTGATTTTTAAAACTTGTCAGAAATACTTATATGTCTGTTTATGTTGTTTTTTGGTCTTTGCCTTATTTTTCAGATTACATACAACCTATTTGCTTACCAGAAGAAAACCAAGTTTTCCCTCCAGGAATGAATTGTTCCATTGCTGGTTGGGGTAGGCTTGCACATCAAGGTAAATGATGAGACACACACACATACACAAACCCAAAGTGAAAAACTTATTAATAAAAATATGCTAGTATTATATTTCTTTATCACTGTGTTTTTTCTATTTTTTTCCACATCATATAGAGTGTTTGAGGAGTACCTGGCTGGTGAAAATCTCTATGCACTCAATTACTAGATGTTAGATCAGAGGTTACAACACATTCAGAGGAGCTTCAAACAAAAGGCCTGCTCTTCTTCCTTCCCAGGCTCGCAGTCTTCAAATCCCTGTGGAGCACAGTTGCTCTGAGACAGAAACAACTGCGTGGCAGCTAGTTGCTGGTTATAGAGTGTGCTATAAAACTATAATCCTTACTCGAGGGGAGTCCAATGATGTCACAAAGTCAACCTCTAACATTAGTACCACATCCACTCCTCACTTAGCATCATAGTTAGGTCTCAAGCATGAGGTCATTATGCAACAATCAGCGTTATGTGAAAATGGAGGATAACCACATCCTGACGTAACTGCTGCATCACATCATCACATACTTACCAAACCCCTGAGAACCATGGCCCAGCCAAGCTGACACACAGCCCAAACCATCTTGTCTTGCACTGGGGCATTCATTCCCGCCAGACATACATCATTACTAAATAGTGCAAAATAGTCAGATAGGTTTTTATACTATTCTCATAAATGTGAGAAATGTCAATCACAAGATACTAGATAACAGAGCAGTAGATATATAAATACCTTTAAAATAACATATCTATTAAAATGACCATAAGTGAAGATTAAAAACACTTATTTTATAAGCAACATACCTAGTGCATTGGTACAAACTCTATTTATTTATAACATGTATAAGTGAATCTTCTTAATGTAAATATTCTCTTAAATCTCTTAATAAGAACAGGTCCACCTTAGCTTTGCCATGCATTCTTATATCTCCTAAGAGGAACACTCAGAGGGAATATTTTACACACAGGAGTAAATGTTGACATACCATACCCTTGACTCACTAGCATTAATAGCATGTTCTCCAAAGTGAGAACTACAAGAAATTAAAAATAAGAAGCAGTTGCCTTCAAATTACTTCTTTTTCAAAAAAATTGTTTTATTAAGGGCTCATACAACTCTTATGACAATCCATACATACATCAATTGTGCCAAGCACATTTGTACATTCATTGCCTTCATCACTCTCAAACATTTCCTCTCCACTTAAGCCCCTGGCATTAGGTCCTCATTTTCCCCCTCCCTCCACATCCCGAGCCCTCCCTCATGAGCCCTTGATAATTTATAGATTATTATTTTGTCATATCTTGCCCTGTCCGATGTCTCCTTTCACCCATTTTTCTGTTGTCCGTCCCCCATGGAGGAGGTCACATATAGTTCCTTGTAATCGGTTCCCTCTTTCCCACCCACTTGCCCTCTACCCTCCCAGTATTGCCACTCACACCACTGGTCCTGCCTTCAAGTTAATTCTAACTCACGATGGCCCAGGGAACGCAGAGTACAACCACTCTACAGTTTTCAAGACTGTGATCCGCATAAACGAACCTCAAGGCCAAGGCAGTAGGCAGGACTAAAATGACTGCACTAGATCTTAATTAAACTCCATTTTGAGTCAAACTATAGTTGGCCTAAAATCTCTGCTTCTGTGGATCTCCAGAGACAGTTCAGTTTGCTATAAAAAAGTTTTACTGTTTAAAACCCAAAAGGAGACAGGATCAAGATGTTAGCTTGTGCTAGGACTTACTTATTAAAATACATTTATAAAGAGTATTTGTGTGGCTTGATCCATGAAGAATATTTCAGTCAACATGGCCCAGCAGGCTAAGAAATAGAAATGTTAATGTTAAAAAAGATTGTAATTTAACAATATTGTTTTAACTTTTGGTCATTTACCCCATGCATGTAGCTCTTTTTTTACTCTGTACAATAAAATTCTCACTAGCTTCTTGCGGTTTGGAACACTATAAGGCCATACCTGAATGTTAGTATATCTCTAACTATCCACCTTTCAATGGAGTATTTACTTTTACTGCAAAGAAAACATAAGACTAATGCTGTTCGATAACATACCTTTTACAATCAGAATACCTGACTGCCTTTATTTACTGGCACCTCTGGTTAGGTCCAAAAGCGGAGTGGATTACCCAATAAGCAAGGAAACTATGTGTTTATTTATGCTTCCTAATCTCTCGTGGACTGTTTCATATTGTCTAACACAGATACTTAGTTATGTGTGATTGGCAGTTTCACACTGTCCTCTACAGATTACTAAATAAACACAAGTAAAACCATGCCTAACTTGGTAACAGTACTCAGTCCCTGTCGAGATTTGAAACGACACGTTGATTCTGGAGGAAGGTGTTGTGAGCGGGAAACAGATGTCAGTAATACATTGTAGCAAAAATCTTTAATGTGGCGAAAAAAAATGAACTTGTTTGCTATAGATTAGTGAATAAATACAAATAAGCCTATACATAGCTAGGTTTTTGGAGTAATCTGACAATGGTTCAAATTTCAGGCCTCTCAGTCGGCAACCATACACAACCATTTGCACTGCCCAGGGATGCCATGCAGAGAATAGATACCTATTAAAAGCAACAACCAGACAAGTTAAAAAACAAACAAACAAACTAGTACTACTCACACTGCAAATATAATTACATGGCTCATTGGCTAAAGAATTCCAAACAGGGAATACTCCATCTGACAGCATTTTGGCCATTCAATAATAGTTATGCAATGAGTAAAGGCGCTCTAGTCTGGTAGGGAGACCTGGACTTTGTATTCACAATAAACCACGCATATAGTGTTTTAAAATCCTAATTATATTTGAAATGAAATTGTGCAACATCCTGTGGAGGACTGCAGATTTCAGTAACAAAGCACTCACAACTCAAAATCCTTATTTGTCATGAGAGAAGGAACAAATTCCAAGTCAAACTCTTGCCTGATGATTTTGACATATGTTCTTCACTGCAGTAATATTATACGTTTAAAAACACAGCAAAATATCTGAGCACTATGCCTTGAAGCTAAATACCATATATACATTTGTTTCCTCCATTTGAAAAGTTCCATGATTTATTAAATTTGAAAATTATAGAGAAAATTATTTTTATATTTTCTATCTCAGATTTTAAAATAAAATACTATGTATGACAACATAGACTCTTGAAAACAAAGTATCCTTTAATATAATTTAAGACTGATTCATAAGAAGTGGATTTTTTATTTGTTTGTTTTCTTATCTTACAAGTGAGTAAGTTTGCCTTACATGTGTTTATTGTTACCAAGGGTATGTATTGAATTGAATTTAAAACATCTCTCAGGGCTGCAGGAAGCAATCATTGCATGTGAGGCCAATTTCATTTATGAATAGAGTACCAGATCATGTTTAAAATTCTTCATGGGTGATGGGGATTTTAGTGAATTTTATGAACTTTCTCGTATGATTTCTGTCTGTTTAATCTATTAAAAGTCCACTTCCCCTCATTTGAATATGCTACAAAAAATAATTATCTAAGAAAACCCTCGGTTTATTGCTGGCCAGGGGAAGATGAAGTGGTTATTATAGTGTTGTCATTAGTAGCTGCTCTCCTAGTAGGTCCTGCCTTGTAGGGAACCCATGCAAAACGAAACAAGATCACTGTGGCTCAGAGCTTCTGCTTACAGACAAGTGGTGAGTGTATTGAAAGTGTATTGGCCAGGCGTTCAAATCTAGATCTCCCAGATCAAAACCAAAAATTCTACACTGAATTACTTCCTTCCCTTTGGTGAGATTAGTTAAATTAAAGCAATCAAAGCATAAAACTTGACTGAAATTGTTTTGCATGTTTTTGTATGTATCTATTCTAAAGTATCCTACTTGCAATGCATTGTGAGAATTAAATATTAAATATAAGTGACTTGCTCAAGCATTCTTCTACCAGAGTTTTATTATCTATCTAACCTAGTTTTCATTAACAATCAGCAAAAGTGGAAGAGAGTTTTATTATTGTAAAACTTAAGTTAATCGGCCCATTTGTAATCCTTATATGATGGTAATGAGAGGCTGACTTACCCCATTCATTTCAACCTTTATTTCCCCTTCTTAGCTTATACTTGTTCATTGTTAATCTATGGGAGTCAGTCAGCTCTATGCTGCTCAGGCAGTTGGCATCAGCTGGCAAGAGCCATTGGGGCACATATCCACCCAAGTTGTATGCAGGGTCATGCTGGTTCCTTGACACTGGCAATGGTCACCGTACGTGCCTTCTGCAAACTGACCAGTAAGCAGTGCTCCGAAACTCTGGGCCAAGTTCCATTATCTTTCCATTCCTTTCCCCTGAGCATCATGAAGACCCACTGAAAAGCACTGAGTTGCATGCAGGCTGTTTTGCACCTCAGTTGTGTGTACACGAACATACTGATGCACGCGCACATGCACACATGCGCGCGCGCACCCCCCACTTCTTTCCTTACTTCTTTTAGGGCATGAATTCCACTGAATTGGAAATAAAGTGTGATGCATTTTTGCAACAACATCGGCTGTCATATGAACTACCTTATCCTCAACTCCCGTCCTCTACTGAGGAACCAAATAGAGGAGCTAATTAGTGGGCTTTACCTTTTTCCAGGCAATAGGTACTTACTTCTTTTACATCCCTCTTGGGATTAGTATTTTAGAAAACAGACTCACACTTTTGGTGAATGGGTAGTTTTATAAACAGCATGAAAGTATACTCTGCTATCCAAAGGCCTCCTTTCTCTCAACCGCAGATGTGGATGAAAAGCTGATTGCCTTTAGACCAGGGCACAGTTCATCTGAGCTTTGTCTTCCGCTCCACGTGCACCTGCCACTTGCACAGCACCACAAAGAAGCTGAAAGCCAATAGACGAGAGCACCTCCTCAGGTGGCAGCTGAAAAGCCCGTATGGATTTCTGAGCCACTGCTAATTTCCATGAATTAAACTCTTTGTGTTGTCCCCCACTCCAACCCTCCATGAGCAATCCAGTAACTGTCTAAATTTACTGAAAATACCTGAAGATCATCTCGTCTTATCTTCCATTCCTGATAGCCCTTTGGGAAGAAAGCAGTACCCATTTGTCAAAAATCTACAGATGGGGTTTATTATGTGCTTTAAAGTAGAAAGTTTAGCATTTAGTTCCATTATACGGACACACAGTACTTGATAATGAGAGTGAAATGTTGGGATAAATAAGACTGATGATGGTTCATTCATGATACATGTTGATCGTTTCTGACTGGCTGGGTGCATTGTATGTTTTGAACAGGTCCTTCAGCAAACATATTGCAAGAAGCTGATGTTCCTCTTCTATCAAACGACAGATGCCAACAACAAATGACAGGGTATAACATTACAGAAAATATGGTATGTGCAGGTTATGATGCAGGCGGAATCGATTCTTGTCAGGTAAATATACAAAACTGCTCACACTACATTTTCAGAAAATATTGTCATATAAGATTTCAATACTGAACAATAATTTGGAAGCAATAACTCATTAAGGTCACATAAGCTTAACCTATTATTTTAAACATGTATTCTAGAAGGGGAAAGAAAATTTGCCAACTGAGACTTTTTCTTTTATTTATGACCAATTTGCTTGGTTTTGCTGAGTGGATATGAGCATTAGGAACAAAAGTAGCAATTAAGAGTAATGGTTACAAATTAAATGCTCTCAGCAACTAGGCATAAAGTGTAAACATGAATGAATGAGGCCGGTAGGTAAACCAGGGAGCGGTGGGCCTGGGGTTAGCCCAGAGATTGTGCACCTTATCTGGAAGCATTTATTTGCAAATCATTTCAAACATTAAGTAAAACATTTCAATTGATTTTAAAAATAGATGTGTCTGCCAATTTGGTTTTTGAGTCTCTAATCTTCAACCCTGGTTTTGACCTGAAAGAATTTCTTGATGAAAACCACCTGAATAGAGTCAGTTCTCAATGAGCCACTTGCCAGGGAAGGGAATGAAGAGCCTATAAAATAACCAAGCATATTCCTAGCTCCAGAAATCCTATAGTCAAGATGCCAAAGGTGAAATAACATGAACTCACTGCAGTGATAATGTCAATATTACAATAAATTTTCTGTTGATAACTTTTGACCTATATGGCCTTCAGAGATAAGTCTTACTCAAAAGCTACCATCATTTAAGACAAAAATATCTTACTCTCTGGAAATAATAATTTAGGTGTCCATAACAACTAGAACTCCATACATACTCCAAAAATATGAAGCAAATTCTGTTAACATTTTGCATCATCTCTAAGTCATGGTACAATGTGGAGTGGTTACTAAAGGCATGCACTCTGTGTTTCAACTGCTCTTGTTTGGCCCAGTTTTAACACTTATTATTAGGGAGGAGCCCTGGTTGCATAGTCGTTACGAGTTAGCCTGCTAACAAAAGGTTAGCAGTTCAAAGCCACCAGCCACCTCATAGGAGAAAGATGGTGCTTTCTCCTCCCGTAAAGAGTTAGTGTTTGGGAAACCCCAAAAGCCAGTCTACCAAATACTGTAGGCTCACCCTGAGTCAGAATGGACTCAGTGGCAGTGAGTTGGTTTGGGTATTTTTGGACAAGTGACTTCGGTTTTACAGGGAAGTTTAAATGAGGTGATATCTGAAAGGTATGATGCATACTCCCTGGGCCAATCAATATGAGCATTCAAAAATATTACCAGTTTCCATTACAAACTTAGTAAATAAATTTCCTGGCATATTTTCAGTATTATGAAATTAATAAAATATTAATGCATTAAAGTCCACTGGATTCAATTAAACCTGAAAGCATCGGTGAATAAATGAATAATTTAAAATGTGGAAGTAGCACTTTCCACCAATGGAACATGCTTTCATTTCTATTTAAGTACAAACAAGCTAATTATATATATTAACATGCATTAACACATTTGTATCATAATAATTTAACTTGACACAAGACATTTTTAACAAATGTATACACAGAAAAATCTGCGTGTTTTCACTAAAGTCAAAGCCTCAAGTCTTGCATACTTTCAACTTTGTTTTACATTTATTCTGCTTTGGAGAACACTTGCAAATTTAAGATCAAAAGGATATTTTTTCTTAAAATTTTCTCTAGTTCTTATACTTCTCTTTTAAAAAGAAAAGTGTGATCAAGGTAAAAGACATTGCCACGCAGGGAGGGATTTAGAGAATTATTGCACAAGAGGGAAATCAGCTGTGAAACTTCAATTACACTTAATGGAAATCTGTGATAGATATGTCACACACTGGGCAGGCAATATGACTGCTAATACTACTGATATTAGGGTTACTTTAAGCCTTTAACCTGTATCAGTGCCCTGAAATCTTATTTTGGCTCTGGTTTCTGCAGAGTTTAGGTATTTTACTGATTCACAAGTAAGAAATTCCTTATACAAGACTATACCTGTGTAATATTTTTTTATCACAATTGAGTAATCAGGACCCTAGATATTCACATGATTTTTTTGTTAGACCTTAGGACTGTGTTATAGAAGCAGCTTTATTAATGAAATAAGAGTCATTAGTTAAACACTAAGCCATTGTACCATTGATTCTCAAACTGCAACACATACATGCATCCTCTATCAGATCAGCACCACCTGGGAACATGTTACAAATGCAAATCCTCAAACCAACAGAATCAGAAATCTGGCCACTGTCTAGGTGCTTCTGATGCAAACTAAAATTTGACAGCCATTTTTTAAAATAAAAATTGTGAGTCATTACCCTCATAGACTCAGTAGAAGAAGTTATGATGTTTATTATTATTTATAAATAGAAAATGCAATGAGAAATTTATAAATTTAAAAATTAATCAATTTAAAGTTAATGATCTAGTCTTGGAATTGACATATTTTTTAGGTCCTTACATATCTCTCGATAGTGTGGAAAGGAAATCAATTGATCAAATGACAATACTGTGGAAGAGAGGCGTTTCATAATTCATCTGGTGGTGGGAAATTATTGACCTAGGTTCCCCATGAGAGAGATCACCCATGAGCGAGCCACTCAGCCTTTAGCAGGCTCTTTGGAGAAACTACAACTGACCCAATATGTCCTGGGTGATTTAATTTTTGTTAATGCAATCAATATTGTATTCTTATTGTACATAAAACATTTTTTTAATAATCATTTTATTAGGGGCTCATACATCTCATCACAATCCATACATACATCATTTGTGTCTAGCACATTAGTACATATGTTGACGTCATCATTCTCACAACACCCACTTTCCACTTGAGCCCTTGGTGTCAGCTCCTTATTTTTCCCCCTCCCTCCCCGTGCCGCCCCCCCTGGACCCTTGATAATTTATAAATTGTTATTATTTTATCATATCTTACCCCATCCAATGTCTCCCTCACCTACTTCTCCGCTGTCCGTCCCTCAGGGAGGAGGCCGTATGTACACCTAGTCATCTGTTCCCCCTTTCTCCCTCTCCTTCCCTCCACCCTCCCGCCATCGCCACTCCCTCCACTGGTCCTGGGGAGTTCATCTGTCCTGGGTTCACTGTATTTCCAGTTCCTATCTGTGCCAGTGCACCTCCTCCAGTCCAGCCGGATATGTAAGGTAGAATTGGGATCATGGTAGTGGGGCAGGAGAAGCATTTAAGAACTAGAGGAAAATTGCATATTTCATCGTTGCTACTGGCCATCTAGCTAAGAAACAACAAAACCCACAAGGAAGAAGCACACTAGCCTACTCCGACACGAGTGCTGAAGACAGAGCGGGTACATAAGCAAATGCGGTGAAGAAAGCTGATGGTGCCACGCTGTCAAATTACACAGAATCTGGGGTCCTACATGCTGGAAGATATACAAGGGGCCATCTAACTGAGAAACAACAAAGCCCACATGGAAGAAGCACACCAGCATGTAAGATGACAAGGCGGCGGCAAAGGGGTCAGGTATCAGGCATCAAATATTAAAAAATAATAATAATCATAACGCTGTGAATGAGGGGGAGTGCAGAGTGGGGACCCAGGGCCCATCTGGGGGAAATTGGACATCCCCTTGCAGAAGGGCTGAGGGGAGGAGATAAGCCAATCAGAGTACATATAACATTTTAAACACGTTAGAAAATACAAAGTAAACAAGTGATTCCTTTCAACACTAACATACAAATGATGGTGGAGGTGGCCGACGTTGAATAGCGTTTCATTTCGCCATTCCTAAGACTGCCCTGACTCAGAACTAACTAAACAGAAACTCACAGCCATAAAAATTAAAGCTCTTTTAAAGAACTTTTCAGTCACCTATAGCATTTGAGCCTGTAAGTATTCATACATTTTAAAATTCTATTTCACAATTTTTATATGGACTAGAAGTCCTTGGGTGGTACAAACTGTTAATGTGCAGACTGAGAGGTTGGAGGTTCAAATACAGCCGAAGTTACTGCAGGAGAAAGTCTGCCAATGTGTATCTGAGAAATTGGCTTCCAAAACCTTTTGGGAGCCCAATCATGTTCTGACATTCCTGGGATCGTCCTGAGTAGGAGTCAACTGGAAGGCAACTGTTGCTTTGTTTTGTTTGGGGGTAGGGGGATTATATTTGTCAATCCAACTCTAAAATATGTAATTGTCTGCTAAAAGAATGAACAAATCTATATCATAAGAAATATAGTCAGCATGCTCTTTAAAAGGAAGGTTGATAAGACGTATACACAATCTTCAAATATTGAATGTGATTCGCTCCTTTTTTTTTAAGAGTTTGCAAACGAGTTAGACTGGTGCATACAGCTCTTATTTAGCTTTATTTTAGTACAGGAAAAAGCCCTACCCCTTTCCAATGATTTAAAATCTGCACATGGTGCACATGAAGGTGATTGTGATGATGAATTTATTGCTAGTCTGAGTTGGTTCGATCGTTTCAAGTGACAGCATAATATTAAAGGGCAAGTAGCGATTGTTCATGAATCTAGTGTCAGAACCAGCGGGATGCCTGGATTGTGGACAGATCATTAGGAGGTGCCTTTCCTTGTGGTAGACATCATACTTGATAAAGTAGAGGATCAGTGAAACTAGAAATACTTTTAACAAGATGGATTGCCAGAATGGCTGCCCCAATGAGCTCAAACATCACACTAGTCGTGAGGAGGGCTCAGCACCCGGCAGTGTTTTCTTCGGCTGCACATAGGATTCCTGTGACTCTGGACTGATTCAATGGCCTCTAACGACAGCAAAAATCACACAGACCATCGAATAGCTTACATATACTGGCTCCATCTAGAATAGTGGTAACGTCTGCTTGTTCACATTATTCAGTGCAGGAGAGAGAGAGAGAGCTTTTCTCATATATATTCCCCCCTAAAATAAAGCACTCCTGCAAAACAATGAAGTCTGGGTGAAATATTCTATTGTACCAGAGAGTTAAAATAAAAAACATTTAAAAATTAAAAATATTTGCCATCAATTTGGACTCACGGTGACTCCATGTGTCAAAGAACAGAGCTCTGTTTCTTGGGCATTTCCATCGCTGTTACATTGCTATTGCAAACCATCAGGACCTCATGCCCCTCACAACAAGCTAAAAGCAGTCTTTAAATCCTCATATATGTAAAAAGCAATAGGCTGTTTTAAAAATGCACAATATGGGTAAATATTTGTCAATTTTATATCATTAAATAATAATACTTTAAAAATAATGGTTATTTACATTATGCAAGAATGAAGATGTACAAATAAAACACATGTAGTTTACCTCTTTAAGAGTGCTATCTATATCTACTGTAATTAACATTTCCAAAAGTAAAAATATTTCTTCATTGATGGAAATCTCTGAAAATGCATGTGCTTCTAGCACTGGAGATGTCCTCATTATGAACAAAACTATACAAAGCAAAAAATTCACTGCCACTGAGTCAATTCCAAAGCAGAGTAGCCCTATATTTCTTCATAGTCTTGCCTATTTCAGCTGAAATATTAAGTTTTTCATATCTGATTATTCATGTCTGAAATTGAAAGCAAACGCCCTGGTGGCGTAGTGGCTCTGCGCTGGGCTGTGGTCCGCATGGTCCACAGTTTGAAAATACCAGTAGCTCCGTGAGAGAAAGACAGCTCTTTCTAGAAACTCGCATAAACAATTATAATCCAGAAACCCACTGGGGATCACTCGGAGTCAGCATTGACTCGATGGCAGTGAGGTTTTTTAGTTTAATATTGAAAAGTTAATGCTGCTCAAGGAAGTTGGAATCACTTTTATGTGTGCTAAAAACAGACAAACTCCCTGCCGTGGATTTTTCTGACTCATTGTGACCCTAAGGACAGCATAGAATTGCCCCGCGGTGTTTCCTAGACTGTAACTCTTTAAGCCTCATCTTTCTCCCAAGAGGCTATTGGTAGTTTCAAACTGCGGACCTTTCAATTAGCAGCCATACTTGTAACCACTACGCCAACATGGAATAATTATCTTTTCACAAAGCCTTTCATGAGACTTAGAGGTTAGCTATTTAAATAAACAAATGACTTCTAATGTATATTTTGGCGTATACACTTTTGATATACGTTAGATAATTTCTTAGTACCCCTTCAAATGCCATCATTAATGTGGGAAAACTCTTGCTTTGCAAGTGCACAGTAGAACAGTTAAATATATGTGTTCTTAGATATCGAAGTTTCTCTGTCTGCTTACTAAGGAACAAAGGGTGCTCATTCTTGACTCAGATAATACTAGGAATATAAAGAACTGATTTGAAATTAAATATGACTTATGAATGTCAATTTTAATTGATTTGCTAAGAATATACATGTACATCAACTGGCATTACATCTACAATCTCCTTTTTCCACTCACTCTTCAGGGAGATTCAGGAGGACCGTTAATGTGCCAAGAAAACAACAGGTGGTTTCTTGCTGGAGTGACGTCATTTGGATATCAGTGTGCACTGCCTAATCGTCCAGGGGTTTATGCCCGGGTCTCGAAGTTCACAGAATGGATACAACATTTTCTACATTAGTGTTCTAGACCAATCAGAAAGTCAGACCATTTTCCCTATTCTATGCTATGTAGCAGGAAAATTGAGTTTTGTAAAAAATAAAATAAAATCACTAATTTTAAAAATTCTTACTTAAACCATTAAAATGTTGGAAGAGGGAAACAAAAATGAAATTAAGTTTTATAATATAGAGTAAATTGAAAAGCATTTTATTTTTTGTGTAAAAGCTATTCTTTTGCCATTATTTTTGACTAATCCTTTTAATAATTTCCTTATTCAAATGAATGTTATTTTAAAGAATGTACTCCTAGCACTAGTACTTACTTTATAGAGTTATGTATCAATTTCAACTGAACTGGCAAAGTTCCCAAATATGATTTTTGTGTGTATGTAACATCAAAACTTAATTCTACTCAAGTGAACTGAAATCAACATAACATTTTATTTGTTTAGTATTTCTAAAGAGTATAATATGGAACAATTTATATTTTCAATAAAGCCTTTCATGATCCCTTATCTAGCTACACCATTTAAGATAAATATATGCATTGTGAAATTTGAACAAAATTAGAAAAGAAGAGAAATAAATTGTTTTGCTCATAGTATGTGATTATTTGAAATAAATAGCTATAAATTATCCACTTCTGACTTAACTTATTATCAGAATCTCAATAGTTTTCTATCTAGTTATATCTCATTTCAAATTTAGCAGGTCCTGGGTGTCTCTAACACATATAAAAATAATTAAAATTGTATCCTAGAGTTTGAACTAAAGTAACCATATAGTCTACTCAGATGATCTAATTAAACAATAAGTAAACACAAGTTTAACCTCAAAATAATAGTAAAATTAATTGATATTTGCATTGTCACTGGATTTTATCCTGCATTGTATCTACTGCCCATTTATTTGAAGCTTGAATTTTTTAGTTTCAAAACAAAAGGAAACCAAACAAAATCCACAGCCACATCAAAGGATTGCAGTTATTGCAAGCATTCTTCATGATTTGTGTGTGTTACAGCAGATATTTCTAAAGTTTGCCAAATTTACTTAGACATGGTTGGATTGCCGATAAGAGGGCAAAAATGTGGAATAAATGAATTTGTCTCACAGCTTTAAGTTATTGCATCATTTCCAGAGTAAGTATTAACCTCAACCTAGCTTATCACATAGAATCCAGCAATGTGTTTAGGGGGACAAAATTTGTACTTTTTTCTTCATGAAGCAAAACCAAACGAACAAAAACTCACATACATTTTGGCACGTGCTCTAAAACCCAGCCTAACCCATCAATGTGGAGTCGATTCGGACTCAGCCGTGTTATAGAACCGGTTTCTCCCCAGGGGGTTTCCGAGGCTGGACATGTTTCCAGAGCAGACAGACAGGTCTTTCTCCAGGAGAGTGGTTGGTGAATGTCAACTGTAGATATGTCCCTTCACTGTCAAGTGCCTTAACCACTGCATCACCAGGACTCTTACATGTGTCCATAGAGGTCAAAATAATAGAAGAAAGAGTAAGGTGTGAAATCCCTGAAAGCAGAGACCCATTCATGAGGATTTGCCTGAAGGAAAAAATCAGACGAACTATACTGGGAAGAAAGGATTGCTCCAGATGGTTCGGAAGGGGACATTGGTGACCACCAGACAAGCGGGAGTGATTTTTAAAGAGGTGGAAGAAAGCACCATAGAAAATCATGGGCTGTCAAGTCCTAAGACTTGTAGAGGAATGAAGAAAGGGAAACTATCATTTTAAGAAGGTATGGCCAGATGGTTGAGGACCACAAGATCCAAGTCAACAATTAATGGAATTTACTCTTAGAGGAAAAATTAGCAGTCCCCAACCAAGTATTATCAAGGTGGCACTGCCATGTACATGCTGACTGAAAGGTCTGTCGTTAGTTTTTACTTTCTGAAGATTGTTATATATCCACTTGCATTTAAAAACACTGATTAAAATGTACTCGAGAATATGTTCTGTGAAGAAGAACTCAAAACCAAACTCACTGCCATTAAGTAGATCAGACTCAGAGTGACCCTGAGGGACAGGGTAGAAATGGCCTTGTGCGTTCACAAACGGTAGCTGCAGCTGAGTGGAAAACTCCGTCTTTCTCTCCTGGAGCACTTGGTGGTTTCAAACTATTGACTCTTAGATTGCAGCCCAAGGCAGAACCACCACACCACCGTGGCTCCTTATTCTGGGAATACACCATGGTAAGTAAACTATGTACTCCTCTTTAGTTTTAAAAGTTCAACTAGAATTTTAGGAGAGGCTTTGTTTAACCTTGCCACCACCTTCTAGTCGGTTACACCTTGGGCTTCTAACAGCAAGGTCTGCTGTTTGAAACCACCAACCGAAAGATGACTTTCTACTCCCATAAAGAGCTAGAGTCTTGAGAACACACAGAGGCAGCCCGAGAAGGTCCCTGTAATGTCGGGGGCTTAAGTGGAGAGGAAATGTTTTGAGAATGATGAGGGCAATGAATGTACAAATGTGCTTTACACAATTGATGTGTGTATGGATTGTGATAAGAGTTGTATGAGCCCCTAATAAAAAGATTTTTAAAAAGACAGAATTGACTCCAGACAGTGAGTCACTTTGTGGATTTAATAATTAATACCAAAAAAATAAGAGTTGTACAAGCCTGGATGCAGATAAAGGGCAAAACCATGGGTTTGTTTGTCCGTCTGTCTGTATGTTTGTTTTTCCAAGCCTTTTTCTGTTTCAGCTTTGTAGCAGTTCTAGTCTTGGATGGCATGAATAAATGTGAACCTTAGCCTCCCTTCTGGCAAGTCCTGTCTACAGGAGCGATTATATCATAGCATGTCAAGAGAGAGCCTACCTCCCTGCTTCCCCGAAGGAAAGGTAGCCCAGAGGATGGGTAGTCCTGGAATGAATGAAGAAGGCTAAATGGGAATAGATCTAAGCTTAGAAAGAGTTGTTTATTCTTTAGTCTCGAAGCAGCTGAACAACAGTCAGTATCCACTAATTTTATTTTGTGTCTTGCTTAATTTTGCCAAACCACTCTGGGTATGAGTTGGGTTCATAAGAGCTCTTTATAATCCAACTGAACAGAATTGACAAAGGAAAAATTAGTTTTAAACCTTTAAACTACAGTTTCCATTCTTACCGCACTTGAACAGTGATTTGCTTTTATCTTCATCTATTGAAGGAAATATATATGTATTTTGTTCATTTGAAGATTTAGACAACACCAATGAGTATTCTTCAGAAACAAGAACTCTTTTATTTGGTTAAAAGGAGCACAGGGATATTTGAAACAGACAGTTACAATGCTCTCTTAAGAAAGAAGGACTCACATCCAAAAAGCCACAAGAAGAAAAACAGAGCCTCCGTTTTCTGTCCCAGCAAACTTTCAACTAAGCCAAATCCCTGGTCACCTTCAACCCATTTTCACAGGAACTCATAGCTCCTTCACTTGCTGAAATGCCAGTTTGCTGTGCTTTCTTTCACACTGATAGACACCACTCCCTTGGTCCCACTCTGCAATCTCTACATCTTCTAACAGAGGATAAACACAGCCAGGGAGGACCATAGGACAAATCTGCAGCTATCTGACTCCAGATCTCTTAACCCCTGATCTCAAGAAACCATCTTTGTTTCATGGGCAAGGGAAGAATCGCTTCAGTTCAAGAACCTTCAGACAGCTACTTGTGGTTCTATAGGCAACATGTGAAGACATATGATTTCTACTGTACATGTCACTTCCTTTGTTTAAATTGGGTGTACTAACTGTCTATAGAGCTACTAATAAAGTCATTTTATTACAAAATCTGTTACATTTTAAACTAAAAATAATTGTAAGGCACATGTCTTGCACAGTTGAAATTAGACAATTCTTGCCTCTAAGTAAAATATTTTAATATATTTGTACCACAGTTAATGAAATAGTTTCTTATTTCTGAAGAGATTTCCTAAACATTGTCTGTCAAAAAGAAGAGAAACAGAAATAAGATGAACCATGTATGAAAAGAAACAAAAGCCTTCTTCTGTGATAGTACACTTGTGAATGCGTAAATTCAGACAACAACAGTGATACATTTGTTTAATCAAAACAGCATGTATTAAAAAATGAAACACCATAAAAATAAATACTAGGACAGTCCATTTTTATCAAACACTTTTGTAAAGGTAATATATTCTGCACACTCTATGTTACGCAGTAAATGTAAATGTCGTGTAACATTTTGCACACTGTAAATTACACTTAAATGTAATGTACATACTACATTACATTAACAAGATCACCATTTATGAAAAGTGAAAGAAAAAAATTAACTGCTTCCAGCACACATACTCTTGATGTGCTGCTGGCAGTCTTAGCTGCATGGTCCATTCCGTTGACTTGAAGTTTGGGTGCATCCTTTAGCAAAATAAGCATGTCTCACTCCTTTTTAGCACAGCATATTTTAGAAATGAAATAATAAACATATAAAATTGATTTTAATGTTTGTCTCAAGGAGAAGCTTACAGTTGATCTTGCAGACCCATTTCAAGCCATCCCAAGCTAATATTCTGATGCCATTCCTTACACAGATCCAGAATTACAAAACGATTTCCTTCTCTGGAGTGAACAAGTCAATGACTTATTATACTTCCATGCCACCCTCCTTCCTGGTGCTTTTTGAAATCCACAGTGTAGACTGGTTCGGGCTTGTTTTTGTTCTTCCTTTACTGAAAAACATAAGAAGCAGCAACTTCAGTGTTGGAGACTTCACATAACATCTGGAACAGAAATATCTCAGACCCTCATTTATAAAGGGCCCTTCTCTTCTCACCAGCATATTTCCTTTTCCTTCCTACAAAAAAGCCTACATTATCCTGGTGTAGGAAGTTGGTGAGCAGTTCCTATGAAATAATGAAAAAAATGCATCTTTTCATATTTGGTTCTCAATAGTTTGGAATTTAGACACACACACACACACACACCCTGGGCGGGGTAGGGAGGGAGGGTGAGAGAGAGAGAGAGAGAGAGAGAGAGAGAGAGAGAGAGAGAGTGAGTGAGAGAGTGAGCGAGTGAGAGAGTGAGTGAGTGAGAGAGCGAGGGAGAGAGAGAGAGAGAGAGAGAGAGAGAGTTCTGATACAGCACCATTTTCACTTTAATCACTAATACATCTTCCTTTGAGCAGTGATTTTTGAAGTGTTCTGCCACGGATGTGTGCTAAATGTAATGTCAAATCATCAAAGCGATAGTTTTTTACTAAGTGTTAACTAGTTTTTGCAGAGGCCTTACCAACTCGTGGTAACCTCAAGTGGACCTGAGTCGTACTGAGTCTCACAGGGTTCTCAGTGGCTGATTTTCACAAGTAGATCTCCAGGAGATCTGCCAAGGCACCTCTGACGGGACTTAAACATCCAATCCTGTGCTCAGAAGAAAACGTTAGTGATTTGCAATACCCTGGACTCTGTACTGGTTAAAAAGGCTAGCCCATGCCTCCTGTCAGGTTTTCTGTTCTGTACAGTTATTTGATCACTGAAAGTTTAACTGTACCTCAATTTCAGAAGCCAATGTAGTTCAATAGAAGATCCAGGCCTCTATAATATGGGAGTATATGAATTGCTTTAGATCTGAGTTGGACAACACTCTCATCAGATTTAGACTTGTATGTTCTAGTCTTCCTTGATGCATTGCTGTCTTCTAAGCCCCTTTTCATTAAATGTCCACTTCTTATGTAGCTCAAAAGTGACCGTGGCTGAGTTTGCCTACATCATCCTCTAGCACATTATTTGTCAAGAGTCGGATTCCTTTGGTCTAGTTCCTTGAGAATCATCTCTCACTCAGATCACTACATAATCAATAAGGAGTGCTGTTGGTGCTGTGGCTTAGGCATTGGGATGCTAGCAACAAAGTCAGTAGTTCAAATCCACCAGAAGAAGAAAATGATGATGCTGTGTGCTCCTGCAAAGCGTGACAGGGAATCTTTCCGAGCAGTTCTACTTTGCCTATAGGTCCACTACGAGTCATAATCAACTTGATGGCAAGGTTTTGGGTTTGGTGTCTCTGTTGTGCACTTCCTTCCTTCCCCACCACACCCCACTCCTGCATCTGCCCCTGCTATGATTTCTCTCCTTTCTCCACCCTCTCCTACCCTAGACATTGCAGAACTCCTACCCTAGACATTGCAGAAAGACATGGAACATTTCCTAAACACACCCAGCCATCACAATTTCATCCAAGTGTTTATCTACCTTAGTTTTAACTGTGAATAAAAAGTACTGATATTATTGATAATATGCTTTTGCTAAAATTATTTCCATATCAGGTGTTTCCAAGATCCAGATAGGTAGATACAGAACATCTGTCGACTTGATGGCATCCAACAGGAATGGAAAATAGGTTCAGAAAGGATTATGAGAAGTATGAAAATTCAAGAGTGATTAAAAATAAATGGTTAAGTTATTAATGTGGCTTTCCCATAGAATTAGTATTTCGGTTTAGGAAACGTGGGTTATTATTTTGAACATGACATGAAATGATATAAAGGATCAGGTGTACCAGACTGGAATTTAAGCTTTCTGCAAGGCACTCGGATGATAATGGAGTGGAGTCTTTGATGGAGTTTCTCCTTGCTCTCCTGGAAGAAAGGAAAAGGGTGGGCTCTAAGAGCGAATGAAGAACTCTACTGGCACTGGGAGGGGCTGCTTTGGCTTATTTTCTCCTCTGAAAAGGTCAAACTAGTGAAAATTCCACCATCTTCAAGTTGCAAAAAAACACCAAAAGACTTTTGAATGGGTAGAATCTCCACAATAATGTACTATTGAAGAATATGGGAAATACACTCTAGGGAAATCTTAGCTAATTGGCAGTTTATGTATATTTATTTAAAATGGGAATGTATGAATTATACCTATTATTATTTTTCCTTTCGAACTGATTTGTAGCTTACAGTTCTTCTTTAACAATTTGGCTAGGATAAGGAACAGAATGTCAGATTGTCGATTCTACTGCGTTTACAGCAATAATTCATCTTTTTTATCTATACTCTTAAGAATTAAAGCAAGAAAGCACAGTTTTTTATTTTGTACACCATATGGAAAAATAAATATTAACTTAATATTTATTGGAAAGCTAAAAGAATACAAGCTATATTATTATTTTTTTGAGTTTATCATCATTCAAAATATTTCAAATGAAATATCCAGTAAATTTGTAAAATACAGTCTGACTCCTTTAAAACATTGATTTCAACCATTTAGAACTTGGTCCTTTCCCCCAGGCTCTGTTGCGACTTTGTGTGTTCTTTATGGTTTATTTCAGAAAAGAAAGAAGACTAAATAAAGTGAAAAAAGGAAAATGACATTATTTGTCAGTCTTTCCCTGATACAGGTAGCCTTATGATTAGCTTTTATTAACACATGCTGGCAAAGATATCTAGTTTATTTAAGCACATATACTGCTATTTAAGCTCATAATTGTTTCCTTTTGGATACCTACATTTCTTTTTTTTAAATCATTTTATTGAGGCTCTTACCACTCTTGTTACAAACCAACTCTTGGTTTGATGGTTACTTACCACTCTTGTTACAAACCATCTTGTTACAAACCATACAAACATCAATTGTATCCCACATATTTGTGCATATATTGCATCGTTCTTTTTTAGACACTTTTTTTCCATTGAGCCCTTGGGATCAGCTCCTCATTTTTCCCTTCCTCCTCCACCCCCCGCCCCCCTCCAACTCTCGTGGTCCCCTGATAGACTGTAATAGATTGTTAAGTCCTTTCAGATCTTACTCCACCACTGTCTCCCTTCCCTTCAGGTTTCTGTTGTTCTTCCCCCTGGCGGGGTGTGTGTGGTTATGGGCCCTTCATTGCGATCAGTAACCCTCTTCCTCCCCACCCCTCCCCTCTTTCCCCCGCCCTTTTGGAATCTCTATTCCCATTCCTGCCGCCTCCCAATCGAGACTAGATGGGAGCATGTGCATAGGTATAAGCAAGAGATACTTAGAGTTCATATATTCATTTTTCTAAAAATAGAAACTTGGGAAACACTTTTTACCTCCTTAACTCTTTCATGCATTATCAGATGTAAAGATCAGAATATCTCTAAGAAAGTTGGCTACTACATAATTTTATTTCAAAATATTTGCCCAAGTGTGCCCGACTTTTTGCATTTAATTTCATTTACTCTGCTTAAACGATCCTTTTGAAATAAAATAGAAACTTGAAAAGACACAATTTATAACATATAAATTCAAGACTCCCATGTAATTTGAAGTCGAGCACATGGTTTAGCACTGATGATTACACAGGAGAGTGATATGGTATAGGTTGTAGGTCACCAGCATTCAAATCTAAGCTCCATGATGCACACTAGTTGTGGAGCCCATGGAAAATTGTTGAACTTATATGATCTACCATGTTGCCAACTGAAAACAGAAATAGCAGTGTACTATTTATATATATGACTTGTGTGGATTAAATAAAACAATACATGAATTCTGTAGTAGAGGTAGGACTTGTTGGATTGTTTATACTGCATTGCATTGGCAAACATAAAAATCAGAATTTCCTTAACATAAATTAAGCATATAATTAATGTCCTGCTAATATTTTAAGTGAGATCTGGAAAGCAACTTAATACATTTTCAATGTGTCTCTACATAAGTAACTTATTTACCTTCTCTGAAGCATCTGGAAACAGCAGGTTCCAAAAGCAACCAGTATCAATAAGAGCAATGGTATCGTTGGTATCACAACATAAATTATATTGGGAATTATGCCTACAAAAAAAAAATCATCTTCACTTACATAGTTGATGCAGAATTCTAGAATCCAGGCTATATAAATTTTCTCCACAAATGCAAAATTAAATAGAATTATTATCAATAAATAGGCCACCACAAGTCTCTTCCCAAAACACTGTATGATATCATCAAATAATATATTTCATAACTTAGTAAAAATTAAAACATTCAACCGCAATTGTTACCATACTCCAACACAAAATCCATGCTTCCAAAATTGTTACTATTAAGCCTGCAATTCAAATATGGGCATGTTTTCAGAATATAGTATTCACTTTATCTATCTCACTTCATTAATAAATTTAATCACTACCTAATTATTAAATAATGATTATTAAGACAATCTCTGATATTTTGGGATAAATATTTATCTTAAACTGAGAGTCATAGTGATGTGTAAGGGTTTATGGGAATAAAATAATATATAAATAAATATTAACTGATAATAAAGTCATAGCCCAGAGACATAAGACGGCAGAATGACAAAGTTTTGACCTAATTTAAATTCTAAAATGAATTCCTTTTTAAACCTGCTTCATCACATTTGGTAATGTTAGGTGATCTCAATAAAATCAAGAACTGTCATGGTAGAGTCCCATACACCTAAAATTGCTATTTTAAATATTTTTTAAATGTTATAAGAAGAAAAATTTACTAATGTACGGATTTACCAATACAGTTACTAAATCAGATATATTTACTAAGTATTTACTAAAACCCGGCACTTGAAAAAGTGACAAACACAAGAAAACCAAATTGAAGAAATATACATAAAACTGGCAAATTGAAACTTTAGAATCTTTATTAATGTATACAATTCTTATCAAAGGAGACTAATCTTCGAACCCACTTTCTATCTAACTGCATACCACTTCCTCTGTCAGCAGAAGAAGACATGATGCTGAAGTCCAGGAGAAGAGTAATTGGGGGATAATCAGCTACCCTAAAACGCATTCTTCTCCGTCTTCAGCAAGTGACTTCAAACATTTTATGGATTAGGAAATATTTTTCCCTTAAATAATCTATTATATTTCCTTATATGAAATAAGGAGGAACGAGTATTTTCAACTTTATCGTGAGTTCTGGATTACCTGTGAATAGATTTTTAAACTTTGAGTCACAAAAGTTTCTGTATAATTGGCAAGGGTCTATATAACCAATATAATTGAGAAGAGCCTGTAATGGATACGACCTCAATTTCTGACTAATTTACAGTCCCACCAGGGCTGGCACTTCTTTCCTTTGCAAGCTGTGGTAAACTGAACATCAGAGTCTGCTTTGGGAAAACCCATTTCGTTCGTCTCTTCCTAACCCGCTGTTCACTTTTGCTTACGCCATCGCATCAAGTCTGACTTACTGCGACCTTATTGGCCAGGATAGAACTGCCCCTCTGGGTTTCTGAAAGTGTAACCCTCTACAGAAGTAAAAAGTCTCATCTTTCACCCAAGATACTGCTGCTGGTTTTGAATAGCTGACCTTTGGATTAGCAGCCCAGTGCGTAACCAGCACGCCACCAGGGATCCTTGCTGTTCATGTGGGGAACTTTAAATCAGTCAAGTTCAGAGTATGTATACCAGGAAATAGGCAACAGCTACAAACGAGGGCTTATATTCTGTTTCTCTCACCTTTTGCTCACAATCAGTAAGGGAACATTTACCAGGATACACCAGGATACATCGGAACATTTACTAGAACACACCAATTTATATCATAATAACTACAGATTGTTGAAGCCTGGATCCAGGCTTTTATGTGGATTACTTAGTTTTATATGGGTTACTTGCTTAGTACTAGATGTTTCCACTTGAAGTGAAAAACCTGAAGAAAACAAACCAGGTTTTTCTATTCAGAAATAATTTTGTATTATTAGCACTAACCTATTCCGTAAAGGTAATAATCATAAATAAAATTCAATAGACTCATATCTAGTGCAGCAGTACCCCAAACAGCAGGAATAATTTCACTGGAGTCAAACTGAAGCAAATTTGAACTTATTGCTTGAGTTACTATTAATGCAGAGTTAAAGACAACTGAGCTAATTACCTGCTTCAGTAATGACAACATTTTCATGGGGGTCTCCTGGCTGATTTGTAAAGTAAGGCTTTTCTACAGGGGCTGTTGGATTAATTTCTGTAAACAATAAAATACAGGCATCATGAATAATGACAAACAATAGAAATGTAAGATTAGATAAAACAAAATGTTATAAATAAATATAAATATTGCATTTTAATATCTGAACAGTTTTCATATATATATAGAGAGAGAGAATTTAAAAGTAATGAGGACCTATCAATCTATAAGTCAAAATTTAATCATCTTTTAAAAGAAGATCCAGTTGGTGAATCACCCCCTTGCAACACAAAACTGTGTTTTATTTATCAATGGCAGATCATGGTTGATGGCAGCCAGGCCTTGCTGTCAGCAATAAAGACAAGGAAACACAAAGCTAAACAAAGAAAATCAAGACTAGTGGGCACAGGAATATGTGGTTTCTATAAAACTTTAAAAAACACAAAGATGGTCTCTCTACAGATAATTAGTATAACATTTGTGTTTCTCTGCAACAATCATCAACAGATAAATGTAAGTACACTATATTTGGAATTGAGGAGTCAAGCAACACATTCTGAAGCACAAATACTGGCATCCTCAGATCCACGTTCTACTAGGGTCTACTCCTTTAACAGTAACAATAAACCAGGACTTGCGAGTCGGTGTCATGAGATGAAACCTCTTCCTTTGGCACATCTTAAAAAATGGTCGACATTTCTTACCACGTTCTGATGCTGCTTAAATGAATAGTTCAGCAAATATCAACTGAACTAGTAAAAAAGAAGCATAAATATGTGTTTTCCTTTGTTCCAGATTTGCAATTCTGTTCATGCTTGACAAAAGAGATAATACTGCAGCATCTTCATAATATTAAAACATTTTAAATATAATTTTATTGTTCTAAAATAGCCATAAAGTTTCCCATCCACTGTACATTAATCATAGAGCATGCTATAGTAATTTTTATTTTTTACATGTATCCTACCCAGACATATTAAAAGCTTTCAAATCTAACCTTACATAATACTCATTTGTCTATGGAATTATAGAATTTAATCAAACCAATACCAATGGAGGTTCAACTGGTATTTGCTAGACTAATAATACAGAAAATTTTCAATTTGGTTATTTTAAACAAACTTTAATTAACTTTGATCATTTCAACTATTGATTGAGAATCAAAATTTAGAAATATAATTCTGTATATCCTATTTTTAATGTCTAAGAAGAAGAGTACAAAATGTAATTTTACTAAATATAAACATTACAGTAAACAGTATTCCCATAAAATTTCTTTGGGTAATGTTAGTAGACTAAAAGAATAGCTACGCAACTCATAGAATTATAGCAAATAAAAAAAGGAGAAAAATGAGATGTAAGTTTTTCTGTTTTTTCATAGATAGGTTAGTAATTTCACCACTTGGGGAAACATTAGTTATCCTATTTGATCATATGTGACTTCAATTAACTGTAACTGAGTTTTTGTCCTTAAAAAAAAATCATTTTATTAGGAGTTCTTACAGCTCTTATAACATTCTATACATCAACTCTGCCAAGCATATCTGTACATATCTTGCCATCATCATTTCAAAACATTTTCTACTTCAGTCCTTGGTATAAGCTCCTCTTTTGTCCGCTTCCTCCCCAACCCTCCCACCCTCATTAATCCTTGATCAATTATATATTGTTATTGTTATTTCACATCTTACACTGTCCATTGTCTCCCTTCACCCACCTTTCTGTTAGTTTTCCCTTTTGGGGGGGCAGGGAGTTCTATATACCCAGTCTGGTGATGGGTTCCCCCTTTCTACACTTTCCACCTCCCAGACCACCCTACACTCATAATATTGCTACTCCCACTACTATTCCTGAGGGGTTTGTCTCTCGTGAATTCCATGTGTCTTGACCTCTTAACTGTACCAATGTGTGTTCTCCATTATAGCCAGATTTGTAAGGTAGAACTGAGTCATGGTAGTGGGGGAGGGGGGAGCATTCAGGAGCTAGAGGAATAATGTGTGATTTGTCGGTGGTATACTACACCTTGGTTGCATGATCCCTTCCTTATAACCTTTCTGTGGAGGAATATCCAATTGTCTACAGATGAGATTTAGGTCTCCACTCCAACCTCCCTCAAACACATCAATATAGTTTTTTGTTTTGGATCTTTTGATACCTGATACCTGATCCTGTTGACACCTCATGATCACACAGGCTGCTGTGCTTATTCCATGTGGGCTTTGTTGCGTCCCTGTTAGATAGCTGCTTGCTTAACCTCAAGCCTTTAAGACACCAGACGCTATATCTTTTGATAGCCGGACACTATCCACCATCCCTATACGTGCCTATAAGCTAGACCTCTATAAATAGCTTTTGCCTCCTATTTCTTTCCCCTATTTCCTTTCACCTTCCTCCTATCCCAGTATCATGCTTACTCTCCATTTGGCTCTCAGTATTTCCTCTCAGATACATTGCTTTTGAAGAAACCCCACCAGGTAGCCTACACCTTCCTAGTCATCAATTTTAGATCTGTTGTTTTTCTCTTATCTCTGAGTTTGTTGGTTCCCCACCCTCATCCCAGCCCCTCCTCGCCCATATCCCCCCAGAACCACTGATCCCATTGTTTTCTCCTTGGGACTGTTCATCCTGGCTATATTATATAGATAGCCATAGAAAAAAATAAAAAGAAAAAGAAACAATCAAAACAAGGGGAAAATATGACCAAGAGATAGTTCCAGGTCTGCCTGCTGACCCTTATGTATGTTCTCTTGTCAAGTCTGATGAGGTGTCAATTCCTGTCCCCCAAGTCAAAAGTCTATTTTCAGGATTCCTTGGGGACTTTGCTCCCCTTGCTGCCATGTTGCTCTCCCTTCTCATTTCACCCCACTGTGCAAGAGAGAGGAAAAGGTGGGGGGGGGGGATGAGAGTGATGGAGAACAGGGCAATAATACACCCACGGGGAAGGTATTGCTTATGTCTCCACAGGAAAGGAAGAGAGGGACCAGACCCCATTCCAGAGCATCAAGCCTTGAGGGCAATACACTGGCATGGAGCAGCAAACTAACAGAGAGGATGATGGGGCCGGCTCAAGCTGAGCTATGTTGACCCGCTCCCCAGAAGAAGGCAGTACAGAGGATAGCCCAGGGAGAGAGGCAGGAGTGAACAGAAAGAAGAGAGAGAGAGAGAGAGAGAATCTCTTCATGGCCCAGCAAGCCCCGGGACAACATCCCTGCACTGTGCAGCCTATGCACAGAGAGGATCGTAGGGCCAGTCCCATCATGAGACAAGACGTTCCATCACTGACCCATAGCTCTACAGGGGACAGCTCTGGAGACACTGTGCAGAAAGCGAGCCCGGTCCTTCTTAATGGTGCAATTTACCCTCAAGTACTAACTTTGAGGTTAGTAGCTCAAGCCTACCCAGTGTATGGAGTAAAAAATACCTAGCAATTTGTTTCTATTAAGATCACAACCAAAAAACCTTTTATGCTGATTGTTTAAACCATTCTACATTGTTTATCCATACCCACTGCCATCTAGTTGATTTTGACTCATAGGATCTCTAAGGTTGTATATTATTATAAGAATATATAGCCTAATCTTTCTCCCAAGGAAAGGTATTGGTTTTCAACTGGTGGGTTTGTGGTGAGCAGTTCAATCCATACTTGGCAGTTCCACCAGGGTCCTCTGTAGTACATAGAGTGACCACGAAGTGGTATCTACTCATGGCAATGGATTTATCAGCAGAATCTACTTGATGGCAAGGGATTTAGTATCATGTGGGGGCCAGAGTGGGGGAGAGGCAAAGCTCAAATCACTCCCTAGCTGTGGTAAAGTTGCAGTATAAAATTCAAAATGGTTTGTGTTATTATTTAGGAATTTGAATTATTCAGATTGATCAATCCACTCCACTCACTACTAAAAAGTTAAGCAAAAAGGAAAGGATTTAATGAACCTGTAAGCACTTTCAAACCTGACACCAAAGAACTAAATACAAAATACAAATGAAAGACTTAAAATTTTTGAAAAGAATAAAAATCCATGCACATTAATTAGCTCAAACTATGTATGTATTTGCTCCAACAACAAATACATAAAATCATTCATAAAGTATTGCACAATTGAAAATAGAGTTAGGATATAGACAATAAAGAATAGTTTAATGTTTTTAGATGTTCTTTCATAAGTAATATAACCTTAAAACCAAACTAATGAATCTCAACTCACTGCCATCGAGTCCATGCTAACTCATAGCCATCCTGTAGCACAAGGCAGACCTGCCCCTGTAACTTTCCAAGACCATCATATATTACTTGAGTACAAAGTCCCATCCTTCTGTGCAGCAGTTAGTGGTTTCAAACTACTGACCTTGCAGTTAGCAGCCCACCTTGTAAGTACTATGCCACCAAACTTCCTAACGTAAACCTAGAGTATCTCCTCATACATAATAACTAAAGAGAAGACCAAAATGTTTTAAAGGGAGGCAGATTTGAATGAGAAAGTAAAAAAAATAAATATATGAAGGATCAAATAGTCCATAAAAGAGTTTTTTAAAATTGAAAGTGTAATGCTGTATAAAGAACACACATAGTATGTTCATTAAAATAATTGAGGTACACTGTCACAAATTTAAAATTTAAGAGAATTTCAACAACATTTTTCCAAGGGGGAAAAAAAATGGAAAGAGAAAAAAGTATAAGTACACACAGATTTAGTTTATCAAAGGTTTTCAATAGTGTAATGATGGATTTAGCATCCAAAGGAGTGAAAGAATAAACTCACCAGAGATGGAAAAGGTTGGCTAACATTCTCACGATCATTGTAAGAGAAGGACGAGTGTGATCCAAATAATACCTGTGCTTAAATCACACAATCTGAAAAGAGCAAGGGACCGCAGTACTTCATTGTAATTGCCTCCCCCGAGCACATCTTATGAGGCCAAGCAGAGAGCCCGTCAGAAGCCTGAAATTTACACTTTCAAACACAGAAGCAGAAAAGTGGGACAGGGCAGGGATATCACAAAACTCATATATCTGATTTGAGTTTCTTGAATGATTAAAAAAATTCCAGAGTTCTAACTAGTTATTCTTTTGGTCAAATATCAATTCAGTGGAGCTATCCTATTAAAATACTTCAAATGTACCATTTCAACAAAGAATTATGCCAATGTAACTCAAATCAATGTAATCTTCCTATGTGCTACATGTGGTAGGACGCTAGCATCGAGTTGCTCCTTACCCTCAGGCAATCCCTTGTGTGTCAGAGAAGAATTGCAGTCCATCAGGTTTCCAATGGCCGTGACCTAGAATTAGATCTGCCTTGTACAACACAGCGGAGTGGACGAGAACTGCCAGCTTTTTAGTCAACTGTTGACCTTACCCAGCGACCTTAAAAGCTAACCAAGGAGGCATGAAATGAGAATGACTATCTCAGGAAGAACATGTCATATGCCCCTAGGTTTAGTCTCTATGCTGCAATCAACCATGATCACTCTTTCCCTGATGACTATGTGCCAAGTATTATGTCATGAAACAATAAAGCAATGTTCCAGGGAAACGGTTTTTGATATCCTTAAATACACAGCAAAATCATCTAAAGAGCTATCAATCTAAAGAGCTGTGCAAATCCACAGGTGCTTTGGTGACTTAGACCCATTTCCTTGCTTTATACTAAATGTTTAAAATATTAAGTATGTTTATTGTTCCTAAAATTTGTTTACAAAAATACACAATTTGGCCTTCATAATGTTCCAGATGTGTCTGTACAACCTTCCATTTAACTCATTGTGCACTTTTCTCTATAACATATACAATACTCTTAAGTACATTGTGTGAAAGTAATTTCATTTCTCATCGCAGAAAAAGTGAAAACCTAGGGACAAAAACCAAACCAAACCATTATAAACAAATGTGTGGAGAAGCTACTATTCCTACTTAAGATAGTTCCTACCTGGTGCGTATTTGCAGATATAATTGTGCTTCATATTGCATCTGTCATCATTCCACTGGTAAAGGTAGGGACCCCCAAGGCCAGGGTTGGCAGTTGGTTGATGATACATCACAACACACTTTTCACTTCCACAGGAAGGTTCATCGGCGTACCAATTTCTGCAAATATATAAGAACAGAAATGCTTGGAAGCATTCTCTCTACCAGAGAATGTCATTCCAATGTCCTCCCCACATAACCGAATTTCTCTTTATTCTTTATATAGTTTGCAGCCAACCATTTCATTGGGTCCATTCTAATTCATGATAGCCCCGTGTGTGTCAGAGTAGTACTGCATTCTGTAGGGTTTTCAATGGCTAACTTTTAAGTAGAATGCAAGGCCTCTCTTGCAAGACACCTCTGGGTAGATTGGCACCTCCAGCATTTTAGCTGAATGCATTAGCTGTTTGCACCACCAAGGGGCTCCAGAGTCTTTCAGAGTGTCGGTCAATGTCTTTTAAGAAATGTTCTCTTTTATTAATTTTAAAAAAATATGTAATCCACATATCACACAATTCAATAGCGCAAACCTATTAAAAAGAGTTGTGCGATCATTATCATGATCAGTTTTAGGAGATTTTCTTCTTTCTTGGGCTCTACAACAACCTTCGCTAGCATGTGCACTCACCGGTACTGCGAATGGCTCTGATCAGACCATTGGTAGAGATCTGGGCAAGCACCAGATGTTTGTCCATCTCCATTTCTCCAGAGTCCTATCCAGAAATCACCATCGGAAATACCTGCTCCGGGTTTTGTGAGGTTTTGCAACAAGCTCTCTATTAACTTCTGCTCTGCCTCATTCTCAAGGCTAAGAAGGGCTCCCGCCTCACTCTCACAAGCTAGGCGTGCCTCCGGGAAGCTCACTCGACTGGACAGCTCGTGGAAGTAGGCCATTTTGTAGCACGGATGCTTCAAATCAGCAAAACACACTTTTTGTCCTGAAAAATAAAAGATGTTAATAAATAAATTATCTGAAATATATTCATAATGCTACTAAGAATTAAGATCAAAGAACCAGGGGAAAGAGGAAATTGTCTATCAAGAATGATTCTCCCATTGAATCATGTCATTAATTTCATTTGCTAGCTTGCTACTTAATTTATAAAATAAAAGTGATTCTCTGGTAAATTTGTAACATAAACTTTAAAATAGGACAACATGAATGTGTTATTATTTATATTGTTATTATTGTATTGTATTATATTATTATTATTGACAGTCAAACTCTTCTAGATTAGATTTTTTATTTTTCAGTACAGTCAAATTCTTCTAGATTAGATTGGATTTCTTCTAATTAAAAATTTCCAAACTGGCTACAATAGGAGGTAAAATTGCTAAAGAAATATCAGGTGTATCCACAGGTAAATGACCTAAACCATCAGAATTATGCAAGCAGAATAATAATTTATAGTGTAATTTACACATTAATCACAGGCAAAGTAAAAAGTGATTTTATATAAAATGTTAAGAAGATACAACGTGGAAAATTTAAGCTATGTATATTTGCTTGTATATTTTCATGTTTGAGAGCAAAAGGACTGAAATTGATAGTTAGCAGGAGATCAGAACAAAGGTGATTAAGTTACTATGGAAATGAATACATTAGAAGTGTCAAGGTAGACTTCTAGAATAATTACTATCTTTGAAAAATCATCTCATTACAAGTCATCTGAATAGGTTCTAACTGATTGGAATACAGTATGTGAATTCCAACTTCTAAGTCAATGTCGTTTCTCTTCTAAATAAACCTCAAATAAAATAGAAGTCCCCACATTTAATAACACCAGAAAACAAATAACATAAACAAACAAATAAATGCATTTTAAATATAAAAATATATAATTGAATGCTTCAAAAACAGGTGGGTTGTTTGGGGGTCTTAATAAAACCATGCACATATGCATATGTAATTATATACAAAATATTACATGTATATTTATATTATAGTATATCACTAATTCTATTTAATTAACTCTCTCAGCAATGGAATTTCTAGGTTTTTATTTATATTTTGGGTTTTTAATTATATTTCTATTGTTTACGTTCTCTCCCTGTAATGGTTGAACATGCATGAGTATTGGAGTAATTTCAGGAATGGCCATTCTGCTTTGTTTTTCATTGGCATCTTCCTTGCAATCCTTTTGCTTCTTTTTGTCTCTCCTATCAACTCTCTTCAAAGGACACACATCCTTTCTCTGTCGCTTCCTGACCCTCAATCTCCTGCCTTCCCTGCTCTCTGGGACTCAGATTTGACCCTGGTTGCCCTTTGAAAACAGACAGTCAGATATTGTACATAAAATTATGATGAATGACCTTCGGCTGGAAATTAAGGTCCTACTTTTCTGCTTTTCTAAAATTCATCTACAAAAATGTTAATTTTGTGGGGAACTGAGGTTCTTTTTCCATCATGTTTAATTTCCATCAATAGAGACATTTGTCAGAGGTGTTATTGCACTTGAACACTGGCTAAAAATAAAGTATTCAAGTTTGGTAGTCTTAATTGCAGTATGTCACACTGTGACTCACCATCAGTATCACATCCCTCCCTCCCCAGAATTAACAATGAATGACCCATGATGACACTCAAAGGCAGGAGGGAACTGAAATCAGTGGAAAGTCAATAACCTCACACCAGAATTTGAGTGAGAGACATTCACTGTAGTGACACCATCCCCACAAGAGCCCAGCAATGCAAAACAGCCTGCCAATTGTCCTCTCAGTCTCATTGATTGTGATCTGGGCCCAGGAGGAATGCACCGAAAAACACAAATGAACCAGCAAACCAATTGCTAATGACAAATAAAATGTTTTTGTAAATTATATATCCAAGAATTAATCACAAACTACAGTTAAAGAGAAAGAAATAACAGGCTTTAAAAAAATATCTGAGATATGATTACGGAGATCCCAATGGCTGGCTCTAATGTAAGTAAAATATTGCTTATAAAGAATTTTACCCAGTGTTCTAGATTTTGTGATCAATTCCATTTTTTACAATGATTGTCCTTGGTTGTGTGAAGCTCAGCAGAAGCAGTAGCTCGTGGACCTCTACCATTTGGCTGAAAGAACAGTGAAACAACAACAGCTGGGAAACAAGTGTTGCCCTAATTCCCAGAAAAGTTCTGTTAATGCAAATCTGCTTGAAGCAACTTTCTCACTTTAGGAAAGGCTAATCTTCCCAAAGAACAATCGAGATTACTTCCTTTCCCATTCTGTGAAATCAAGGGAAAACTTTCTCTTCTAAATTTCATATTTAGATAAATTCTTCAGTAGACTATCTTCTGGATGAAATAAGTATTCTGAGATCCACAGACCCAAACAACCCACTGTCTGAAGCTGAAGCCACCTCACAGCAATTCGACAGGAATAAACTGTCCATCGTGTTTCCAGTCTTCACGGACATGGACTACATTCTTTTGCTGAGATGGTTGGTTCAAAACACTGCTTTTGAGGTGAGCCGCTGAGTGCTTTACCTAGTCTCTCACTGGAGCTCCTTGACAATCACAGGACAAGCTTCAAAGAGTTTGTGGGATAATAGAATTAAAGATAATGGATTTCTCCACAACTTTTTTGAAATCCCTGGTACAGTGATACTGTTTATTCCACTAAGGCAGTGCTTCACAACCTTCCTAATGTCACAACCCCTGAATACAGTTCCTCATGCTATGATAACCCCCAACCATAAAATTACTTTCATTGCTGCTTCATAACTGTCATTTTACTACTGTTATGAATTGTAATGTAAATATCTGGTATGCAGGATGTATTTGCATTGTTGCAAATTGAACATAATTAAAGCATAGTGATTAATCACAAAAACAACATGCAATTATATATTGTGAAGATTTATTTCCAATTACAATAAATGAAATTTTGTCTTGAAGCATGGTGTAGCCTGGGTAACAGTCTTCACACCGTGTACTCATTTGTGTGCATATCTGCATGTGGGCGGACCCGCCTGGAGATGGAGAGAGGAGCAGGGTCTCGGTTCCTAAGACCATCGGAAATAGTGTTTTCCGATTGTCTTAGGCGACCCCTGTAAAAGATCCTTGTACTCTCAAAGGGGTCATGACCCACAGGCTGAGAACCTTTGCAGTAGGTTAGCTTTTTATCACTCCAATGACTAGACATTGGACTGCTAAGCACAAGGTTGTCAGTTCAAACCTACCAGCTACTACATGAGAGAAAAAGTGGCTGTGTGCTCCCATAAAAACATAAGAGTCTTAGAAGCTCTATGAGGGGTTTTTGTTGGTCAAAACTGATTCAAGAGCAGTGATTTGGATTTTTTAAGTATAGTGTATTTATTAATATAAGATACCATGCCAGCCAGTGTCCTTATTAAGTAACATCATGTGATAGTTGGTTTAATTATGAAAGAAACAGGAAAGCGGTGCCCATCTAGAGGCTACAAACTGATGAGGAGCTCCTGAAGCATCCTGGAAAAAATCACAGAGACAGGAGCCTACTGGAGCATCCTGGAAAAAATCACAGA